GAAATAGTATGTTTTTTAGAGCATTTGTAGAGAGATTCAGATTTAAGGACCTGACATCATTTTATAAAAGACATCTGAATAGCAAGTGTCAAATATTTCTGGATTTTTAGTCTTTATTTTTTTTCTTATGTTAATTTACAATAGTGACTTGCAAATCACACATCCTAATCACCAGTTTTGTATTTCTTTGTAAGAAAAATTCTCTTATTTTGGGCAAAACTTTTGAGCTGGAATTTTGCATGTGGGTGTTACACCCTCGGAGTTAAATGGAAACTTTTAGTGTATTGATTACCAATAATCTTGTGCCCTTCTTATTAAGTATGTCTTTAATACACAAAGACTCAAGCTTTTTACTTCACTCCAGTGCCCTCTTCAGCTTGAGAATTTCATATATGTGCTGAATAATTGAAAATAATGAATTCCTGTTTATGCAACCTTATATGTTTGCTATTAATAAGTGGCGTGGTCCTTATGGTTAAATTGCTGTTTTTTTTTTTTCCACTTAATTCTCCTGAAGTGACTGGCCAGGAGAAGCCTCTGAAAATATGGATTATGTGGAAAGTCTCAGTCTCAAGAGCATGAATCCTTGGCGAATTTAATTTTGAACAAACAGCCTTGGGGACAAAATGTTTTAACAATTCAGCCAAGTAATTTGTTGTTCATTGTTGATTTAGTGCCCAATCATGTCTTTCCTTACCTGAGCGAAGGTTCCTCCTTGGGGATTGATGTTGCTGTCAAGAAGGGAAAAGAAACCATTACTTTAGTGGTCATAGACCCTATTAAAACAGTCATAGGAATGCTTCAGAGATATCCCAAACAATCCAAAATATCCATTTCTTTGATTACCCAGATCTCTGCATTATGGACAAAAAAATACTATTAAAGGCTTATTCAATTACTGTGGTCAGTTACACATAATAATGAAGTTTTGCATTTGATTTTTGGTACATAATGTCAATGATGACTTTCAAATTCAATGATTCATCAGTCATCTCAACTGTATATTCTTGAAGTCAACTTTGGATATTTCCATAATCCAAACTGTTAAATGTTTTTGAAAATTGAAGATGGTCATGCTTTGTGCAGGCAGAGAGAGAGAAATCCTTATCTGACAAAGCATTTCTGGCTGTAGTGACAAAGTTTGTCCTGATATTTTTTTCTGCAGCACACCAGGGTTGATGTGATAGCAATCCTGATTTACCTTCATCTAAAGAAGCCGTTATTTCCTAGGACCAAAGATAGAATTGTAGAAGTGTGGATTTGGAACAAGTGACCAAAGAGGAACGAGAAAACCCAGGTAACATACTCAGAAAAACTCTTCACTGCCATAAGAATAGGACAAAATAGACTTGTAGTAAATTATGTGTCTTTTTTAAGCAACAGGTTTACCATTTAATCTAAAATATTTTATGCCAGATGCTCCAAGAAAAAGATAGTAAGTACATGCATTTTCTCTGTTTTATAAAATATTATTGGAATAAGTACAGTGTCAGTAATTTTATCCAACATTTTATATTAGAATTAGTTAAATATATATTAAGAGAAAGAAATCACATCAAAACAGTACAGCTTGTCATATATATGGTCTTCAAAATAACTTTTTAAGATTGCTTTTATAATTTAAAGAATCCAATGATTATTTTTGTGTCTTAATATATTGGATAATAGTAAGGATTATTATAGTCCTTTATAAATTGTTACCTTGTGTCTAGTATCTTTAAATGTTCTGGCCCATCTAGACATATTATTTCATTGGCATTTTTTTATTGAAGTAAAATACACATAATAAATTGTTGTGTATTCATCACAACCGTCCATCTCCAGAACTTTTATCATCATCCCAAACTGAAACTCTGTACCCATTAAACAATAACACCCCATTTCCTCCTTCCCCTGCCCCTTGGTATTCATTGCTGTACTGTGAATATGACTGTTTATTTATGACTATGTTGACCTTATTGCACCTAGCATAGTGTCTTCAAGCTTTATCCACGTTATAGCATGTATCAGACTTTCTTTCCTTTTCAAGGCTGAATAATATTCCATCATCTATACATACCACACTGTATGCATTCATTAGCTTTTGGACATTTGGATTTTTTCTACCTTTCGGCTATTGTGAATAATGCTGCTATGAACATTGGTGTACAAATAACAGTTTGAATCTCTGCTTTCTATTCTTGTGTGTATATGTAAGATTACAGTTTGATATTTAAGTTAGCAACCTTTATTACAAAGGGAAACTTAAAACTTACAATGTGGAAAGAGAAATTTAGTTACTTGTTAGACTCATTGACCTATAATATGTACACCTTATTAGAAAGTGAATTTTAGTGTCTGTGAAAATGGAATTCATGAATTTTACTAGATATGAAATCTACAGAAAATGCCAGTATCTATTTTTGCCTATGGGTTAATTATATGGATATTTCCTTATTTTTAGGGTCTTAAAATATTCTGAGTAAAATGGACACATTGTATTATGTACTCAGTTGATCTCTTATTTATAAAATGAAGACCCCCTTTCACTGAATTTAGATTTAATGATTCAGTGCAAAGAGGTGAGTGAGATGTGGAGAAAGAGGAAATTTGCACACAGGGATGTGACTTGTAAAGAAAGCACATCTTCTGTAATCATATATAATAATGACCCAGTCAATCCATCCGTCCCTCAGAGAATGCTCCTTTGTGTTATGAAATAAGATAGTGGACTTTGGGGAAACTCTTGTAATGTGGCACTAAAGTTACATGGGGAAACAAATAAGGGTAAATAATATCTTGAATGTATTTAGTGACTATTACCTGTCAGATAGTTTCTGGAGAGCTTTATTTGCATTATTTTTAAAATTTTTTAAAAGATTTGATTTATTTATTTGACAGACAGATCACAAGTAGGCAGAGAGGCAGATAGAGAGAGGAAGCAAAGCAGGCTCCTGGCTGAGCAGAGAGCCAGTCAGATGTGGGGCTCGATCCCTATGCATTATGAGTATTTGTCATTATAAATGCAGACATAGCTTCATAACTGTGAGTGGGGATATTTAATTATGTATGTATGTGAATAACCTGCTGGAAGTCCCAAAGATGGAAGTCCTTTAAGCAGCTGGTCTCTTCTGATATATCTTAAGGTTCAGAATTTGGTTTTCTGGAAATGTAAAGACTCTGAGCAGTGAGTCCTGGTACTGATGCTAGGTTACCCTCTGGTCTAACTCTGGATTGAAAGCTCAGGAAATCTGAAATTCTTCTACTTCCAATTCAGTTTCCCCAAACCAAACTCAATTAATTCAAAGCTTATTTCATTTAGTTTATGGTCTTTGCTAGTTCTTATCTGCCTTTTCTGTTTTCTTTTATTATCTCTTTGCTACATTTTTATTCTCCCTCTCGCATGTCTAGAAGCAGAAAGAATAGAATAAGGTTTACAATATTATTTACAAGTGTAGATATTATGATGGAGCACATCTAAAATAATTTTGCCAAAACAAAGTTGCATATATTACATGTACAATTGGTCCTGGGTTGTATCTGGTAGGCCTCATGGATAATTTATTTTTCTCAAGTGAGAAGGAATGTCTTGTATTCCACATAGACTCGGAAAATCAAGAGCTAACAATATGAATGACATATCTGGTGTAATCTATTTATCACTTTAATAATCAAATAATCTTTAACACATGCTAATTCACCGTGGTTAGTATAAAGATGGTCCAGTAGTAAGTGCTAGCATGTCATTTAAGATAAGGTTTTCCATGACTAGAGTTCAGAAACTCATATCTCTGGGAAGGCCATAACCTTTCCAATAAGAACATGAGTTGGGACATGATTTTCCCAGGATGACTGACAAAAATTAACGTTTTGAGATTTTTAGTGTGGGATTCTTGCTACTATACCATGATTCTGCCTAAAATCTTTATGTTGGCATTCTGAATTGAGCTACAGTTAGCAATAACCAATTCTAAACCATTTTGGAAAGTAGAGAAAATGTCTGGGTAGTACCCATTTACTTAAATTTGTACTATCCATTTTTCTCCTCTATATCCTCTGTTGTAATAAATACCAATTCCATTTGTGTGCGTATGTGTGTGTGTCTGTATTTTCAAAGTGTACTTTCATGAGTGGGATGAATTTCTTTTTCTTTTTTTTTTTTTAAAGGTTTTATTTATTTATTAGAAAGAAAGAGAGAGAGAGAAAAGAAAGGGGAGAGCACAAAAAAGGGGGAATGAGAGAGGGAGAAGCAGACTCTCTGCTGAGCGAGGAGCTGGTTTTGGGGCTCAATCCTAGGAATCTGGGATCATGACCTGGGCTGATGGCAGATCGCAGATCCTTAACTGGCTGAACCACCCAGGCATCCCAGGGAAGAATTTAATGTACTGATCTCTTCTTAGATGGTTTCTTACATGTTTAAAATTCAGCTGGATTAAATAAAGTTTAATAAATATTTAAGGGGCACTCATAGTATGTCTGGGTCTTTCACCGCAGCAGGTGACACATTTTTTGATATTTGGAGCTCATAGTGAAGTCACTCAGAAAGGCAGTTATCTAAATGTCAGATAATCACTTTATGCTCCATGCACTAGATATTATTATGTAACAAGGCTATTAAAGATGAGCATGTTTTCATAGTCAATGTCAGAAACCCAGAAAGCATTCAAGAAAAGAAGAAATGACATACAAAATAAAAAATGAAGTATTCATAGGCAGGATTCTGATGAAAGCCGCTTCCTTGTTTTTTGGTAGGTCATGTCATAGATATGCCCACTGCCATGTACCTCCCAGGTAGAGAACTGGTCTCCTTGTAGTTGATGCAAGAAATTTGTGGAAATGAAAGCAGAAACTGTGGGTGGTGATTCTAAACTTTCATTCTCTAGAAAGTCACCCTGTGTGAGGCCCTGTGGGGCAAATGTGGTTGAATGCGGCAACGGTTTTTGACATAAAGCATGTGATCCTCTCAAATTCATTATGGCCCTTTCATTTACAGACTCTGATGCCTGAGTTCAATGCCTTCCAAAGAATATATGGGAAATAGAAACAATGTGACAGAGTTTGTCCTTCTAGGGCTCACACAGGATCCTGAGGGGCAAAAAGTGCTCTTTGTCCTATTCTTACTCATCTATGTTGTGACAATAGTGGGCAATCTGCTTATCATAGTAACCATTATGGCCAGCCGGTCACTGCATTCTCCCATGTACTTTTTTCTTGCTTATTTATCATTTATAGATGCCATCTATTCTACTGTCATTGCTCCCAAGATGATTGTAGATTTGCTTTATGAGAAGAAGACTATTTCCTTCCAGGCTTGTATGACTCAAGTCTTTCTAGATCACTTATTTGCTGGTGCTGAAGTCATTCTTCTGGTGGTGATGGCCTATGACCGATATGTAGCCATCTGTAAACCACTTCATTATCTAATTATCATGAATCAGAGGACATGTGTTCTTATGCTGCTGGTGGCCTGGACTGGAGGCTTTCTGCACTCAATGGCTCAGTTTCTCTTTATTTATCAGCTCCCTTTCTGTGGCCCCAATGTCATTGACAACTTCGTATGTGATATGTATCCCTTGCTGAAACTTGCTTGTACCAATACCTACCTCATTGGAGTTTCTATGATAGCTAATGGAGGAGCCATTTGCACTGGCATCTTCTTCATTCTCCTAGTTTCCTATGGGGTCATATTACACTCCCTTAAGACTCATGGTTTGGATGGGAAACACAAAGCCTTCCACACCTGTGCATCCCATATAACTGTGGTCATTTTATTCTTTGTTCCCTGTATCTTCCTGTATGCAAGGCCTAATTCTACCTTTCCCATTGATAAATTCATGACTGTGGTTTTGACCTTCATAACGCCCATGCTGAACCCCATAATCTACACCCTGAGAAATGCAGAAATAAAAAATGCCATGTGGAAACTTTGGAGTAAAAATGTGACCTCAGTTGACAGAGGGCTGTATTGCTCACGTAGAATATGATATTCATTCTTTCACAGAATCAAGGACTGCTTTCATTATCAGTGATTACATCTTAAAAATGATCTCCTTTGGGTTAGTTAGCCTCTTTATTCTGAAATAGCTATATAAATTAATCTTTATCTAAATGGAGTATGTTACAACCCTTAGAAAGCAAGAGAATTGTGTAAGTTTAATCTCTGATCTATATAATCATACTGTGCTAAGGTTCTTCAGTGAACAACGAATTTTTGTTTTATTTCAAGTTTTTGTTGGTGGAGTATGGTACCTCCATGATACATAAAAATATGACCTAATAGAAATTATTCTCCTTAGTCCAAGAGAGTGTGATTTTAAAATTAAAAATTCACATTGTTAAAAAAAATACCCTTAATCTAACAGTATAAATAAATTCCCTGTCAAATTAACTAATTCGAAATTTCACAGCACATGTTCATAGCTGAGGATAGATCTATGAGAAGTGAACTTTATTAGCTTTATACTGTGATGGTAGCATATGGCTGATTTTCTATATCCTAATGAATTTTTGGGCAGAAAAATTAAATTGTTCAATGCATTGTGTGCATCTAGATATAAAGACTCTTCTGGTAGTTGAAATATACATTTAGTCTCTCATATCACAGTAGACTGTCAGAGTCTACCTACATTTAGTTAAATTCTCTGGGTATACTTTTTTTAAATTTTAATAAATGCTAAGCATTTTGGGAATATGTTTTGTTTTACATATGAATGCCTTTCTCCTCTATAAATTTTATGTTCTGGACTTAAGTAATAAGTCAAAAGTGACTTCTCTCTTTATAATTTCTCTATAGAAATTTTGGAGGTTGATTACTGTATTACAAAGGTCATTTCTGAAGGCCCTGACATTACACTTTATCTTGCTGAGAGGTCAATTCACAACACAGATTGGATATGAAATTGGTATTTTTTGCCCTCATCTTTCTTTCAATTTGTAATTGGATCCAGTGAGTGTATTTAGCAATATTAATGCTTCCATTTATTTAAAATGTATTGAATAAATGCCAGCCATGAAGTTTTATTTATTCTTCAATGAAGGAAATAAAAACTAACCTAGATATTTTAATCAGAAAGAAATCCATTACAGTGGATGAAATACTTCAAAATGACCAGAATTGGAGGACCTACTACCTGGATACTGGTGTGAATGCAGTTGGGATCAAGGATTTACCACCAAAGCTATTATGCAGAAATGAGAAAGCTGGATTCAGAATGAAAGATGTGTGCATACACTTCTCAAAGTCCTTCCCTGTCCTGATTTTAAAAATAAAATAAAGAAAAAGTTTTAAAGTTTTGTTTCTTACATTTACATCTTTTACCCATATAGGACATAAATGTTCAGGTATGGTGTGAGGTAGAAATATACATTCCTTTTTATCATAAGAATAAATTTCCCAGCACACTTATTGAAAACCACTGAATTTCTCACTACCCTGCAACACCTCTACTTTTATATATAAAATATCTGTATATCTATTCTTCTATTTCTTAGCTTTCTATGTAGTTCATTAGTTGATCCATGAATAATAATATGGTATCTAAAGTGCTGCAGTGTTTCAGATACCATTGCAATATAAAAAAAGTCCCCCCAATGTTTACTAGCTGAAAATACCAGCAATCACTTCATTATTTCAGATTGTTTCAGTGGGTTAGGAATTTGGGAGCATTTCTGAGGTGGTAATTCTTGTTCAGGGTCTGTTGTGAGGTTATAGACAGAAACTGGCTGAGCCTGAGGTCATCTGAAAAGTTTCGTTACTCACGTGACTTGTACCTAGACTTTCAAGTCTTGAACAGTGGGAAATAGAACAAGTGTTACTCCTTGAAATCATAAGATTGGGGTCCTATAGAACTGGTGTCCTTGTAAGGAGAGGAAGGGAACTCTCATCCCTCATGTGTGCACAGAGGAGAGGCCATGTGAGGACAGTGTGAGAAGATGGACAATCTACAAGCTGGGAAAAGAGGCCTCGTCAGAAACCAGACCTGTTGCTATCTTGATCCTGGACTTCCAGCCTCCAAGACTGTGGGAAAAATCAATGTCTGTTTAATCCTCCCTCTCTGTAATATTTTGTTATGACAGCCCAAGCAGACTTTGATGATGATGATAAATAATCCAGATTTGGTGAATAAAGGCCTGAGTTGAATCACCATAATTCAGTTCATAAAGGTCATGGCTCCTCATCAAATCACCATATGTGAATAATACCTAAAGCTAGAATTTTTTGAATGAAGGAATCATCAGGTATCCTTGAATAGTCTGTGATAGCACCACAAATAGGGGTGTATATCTTCCTCTTAACCTTTTTCTAAGGCATCTGAGACCATTTTGCCAGGGTAACTGTGCTCTGGAAAGATAAACAGTCAAACATTTCTGGCAATGACTGGAAATATGTTGCAAAATGCTCATTCCTGTGGTCCAGTAGTCTGAAAGCAGACCAAAGGTGAAAGAAGGAGCAAAAGTTATTATAATGGGGCAGTTCCACATACATTGTTAGACTTCCATGTGTTCTACAGGAATACATTTCTGTTTTGGGTCCCTGGTCACTGGAGTATAGTTTCATGGAATGAAGGAAGGACTCAATAGAAGTATTTAAAACTAATCTTTCATTCCAAAATATTAAGCAAAAAGTAGTAGCATATTTTTGGCTACCAAAGAGATTTGATAGATGCAGAGAGTGAGTCTTACCACTTTCCCACTTAATTTACTTGCTTGGTTTGGGAACAAAATGGAGAAACAGGTTCAGTCTGTATGGAAAATGGAAGCTTAAAATAAAATCTGATATCATTAATATTTACTTTTTGTGATTTGCCTTTGTATGAGAAAATCCTATAGAGTCAAAAGGACGTATTTGTTTATGATCTCTCAACATCCTCATTTCCTTAGTCAGGTCTCCCTTGGAAAACAAGGAAGCTCACTGAAATAATTATATAGACTAATTAGGCAAGCAAAACAATGTCTTTTGTTTGGATTACTCTGCAAAAAGTGAGAATATCAGCTATTCCATGCAGGAAAAAGATAAATAAGTTAGGATTTAAGAAACCTAAATTTGTATCCTTACTTTGTCTCAGATTCTTCATATGAAAAATTTTTAAAAAAGTGAATTAGGTACTTTTCAATAACTCATTCAATTTCCATTGCCTAAGATTATTGATTGATTCATCAAGTTCTGGCTTCCATGTACTTGAATTTTCAGAAAGCTCTCATAATATGATATGAAATCCAAGATTAGTATTCTTCTTTTTTTTTTAAGATTTTCTTTATTCATTTGACAGACAGAGATCATAAGCAGGCAGAGAGGCAGGTAGAGAGAGGAAGGGAAGCAGGCTCCCTGCTGAGCAGAGAGCCCGATGCGGGGCTCGATCCCAGGATCCTGGGATCATGATCTGAGCCAAAGGCAGAGGCTTTAACCCACTGAGCCACCCAGGCACCCCTAGTATTCTTCTTATAGTCAAACATGGTACAACACTTTTCAGGGATTTTTTATTTTAGAAATTTCTTAAATTAGGTAGATAACATTGTGGAACTGAAACAATAGAAATTGGCTTTTGGTTCTACCGCTTACTAGTTACACTATCCCAGAAAAGTGAAATGAATCATTCTAAGCCTCAGTTTTTCTATCTATGAGTTGGAAATAATGTATTCATCTTCTAGGGTTATACTGAATTAACTATGAAAGGACTGCAAATAGTAAGTGCTTGATATAGGATACTACCTTTTGATGGTGAATTTAGGGCAAATTAGAAGTGGACAGGGACAGTAATATGTTATTAACTGACTTGACAAAGTAAATAATTAATAGTAATTCTAAATTCTCCAGAGGGAAAAAAGTAAATTCTCCAGAGAGAGAATATGGGAAATTCTGAGAGGAAGAAGTTGATGCATTTCAAATTCCCAAGTGTTTCTTGAGTTTATTTGTTAATATCTCCACAACTTAGAATGAGAATCAGTCTTCTTAAAGCCTTTGTTGAAAGATGGATGTTAACTAAGGGTCCTGCTATGTGCCTTGGTGAGTGTTCCTGTAGGAAGTAATGTGGGGCCAAGGTCAAGATCAAGACTTGAGGCCAGACGGACTTGAATTATACCTTTAGGTCTGTTTCTCACTAACTATATATCCTGAGATACAAGGCTTTCCTTCTTCATGTTTCAGTTTTCCTGTCTGTTAAATAGAAGGAGAAACCTTTCAACCACATATAACTCTCTCTAAACAATATTAAAGGAGATAATTTACATTTTGCATGATGTCTAGCATATATAAACAGTCAATACTAATTTTTGATTATTATAATAATAATGGCTAACCTTCACATAGAACTTTATAATTATCAAATAATTCCTATCTCTTAGGAGGAGAGTAAACTTACTTTCCTTAGTCCTTAATCATCTCAGAACTTTAATATTTCTGACACCAAAAGAAATAAGAAGAGAGATGAGAAAGAGCTATTGGGACATTTGAAATGGTAATAAAATTTCTTTAAAAGGTATATTCTCTAAAATTAGAATAATATGTAATCATGATAGAAAAATATAGGTTAAAAAATAAAAATGTTATAGTTTTAGCATTACAATAAACCTATCAAATAATACTGGTTTTGCTCTATTTACTTTCTGTATTTTTTCATGCATAATTTTAAATACTTGTACCTATACTTTTCCAAGAAATTCTAACATTTAACAATAAGGTAACAGCATATTTCTTCAGGTTGAAAGATTTGGAGATGTATTTCTTCTATTCCTAAAGGCAAAAAGAAATGCTTTATTTAGATGCACTGAAATGATTTTTAGCTTTTATTCCTTGATGGTGTAGTAGACCTTTCCTTCCTCGACTCCTATGCCCTTTGGTTCTTAATGAGGGAGAGCACTGCTGGGAGAGGTACTCTTGGTTGTTCCATATGTGTTATCGTGTGAGAGAGGCTGGTGAAAACATCATGGTTATTGGTTGAAGATGTGGCTTCTGATAATTGAAAGCAATCGAAGCAAAGGATTTCTT